CTGTCCTGCACTCTAGCTTAAAGTTGGGGATATAATATGTTAATGCACATGGGGAAGAGGACGAGACTGGTATGGCCTCCTTTTCCCAGAATGTTTCTACAGACTGAAGTAGGCAATGTAGGGACCTCTTTTTGTATCAAAATACACAGAAATACTCAGCTAAAATATGCTTTAATTACTAAATTGGAAGGAAATGCTAATAAAAGCTTGCGTGACATCTTTGTGAATTTCAGACAGATTCACTGAAATTAGTGCTCTTACAACGAACACCAAATGAAATACAGCAGGAACAGACAAGGACATTAAGGATGTTTGCTTTAGGGCCAGCTGCTCAATTAGCAAATTGTGTTCAGAGTGTTGTAGGGCAGGACTGCGGTGTAGTGGCACTGTTGCCTGAGGAAAACCTACACTGTGTCTGCCCATGTAATAACTTGTGTTTTCTACACAAGCTTCTTTCGATTATACAATAGATTCTTCACACACTTTTGTTACAGGCAAACTCTGCTCCTGCTACATCAGGTTCAGCTGAACATTGATCATCAGAAACTTCCAAAAAGGAAGAACAAATTCTCTGTGACAATATATGTGGAAGCACTTTTGTTCTGCTTGTGCGAAGATATACTTGAGATCGAATGTGGTGATCCTATACATGGAGGACTAGTAGCCTAGCGTTAGAGTAGAACAAGTTAAACTCCGCTCCACTGCCAACACATAGTACTTTTAAATGTCTGTTTTGCCTGGCAGTGTCAGCCAAGATACATTCCCTGGTGCACATTTAGGATTTAGAAAGAGAGATGTTTCCCTGCTCACTTTCACTGATGATCCTCAAGTCAGACAGTGAACCTATTACTGATGTCATGAAGTATCCAGCATCTGCACCAACTATTTCCTTCTCTCCTAAGTCATTCCTCCTAATGCGATATTATGACCTGTCTTCATCTTTCTTTCCCACAATTAAACAGATCCTAGCAACTGAAAGAAGACTTCTTTCCAATCATCCTACTTGTTTAATTAGGATGCATACCAGTGGCATACCAGTTTCCAAGATAATATTGTTTACATGGCAACCAGTGCAAGGAACCTCGGTTTAAACTTGAATCAATTTTCAACTGAGGATATCTGGCATGTTTGTGGTATATTCTCCAGCCTTCTTCACCCTTCCATTCCAAAAAAAGGGATCCAAGAAAGGAGAGTTCCTGAAACTTTGGTCTCTGCACATATAGCCATAGCATCAATTGCCTGCATTTTCTAGAAGATAAGTAAAAAAAGTCTGCATGAAGCTCTGTTTCTTTTTTGAGAACTCCTTCCCTTTCTAGTAGACATTTTAATGCCTAGGGAGAAGAGCTAGTTCTAAGCAAGAATTGACTAAGAATTTTTCTTTAATTATGTTTAGAGCAAACAAGCTAGATAGGTTACCTTGAATGTAACGGACTGCAATAAAGTTTCATTAACTATATTGGACTTTATCTTGATCAGTTCTGCTGAGCAAGAAAAATCCTTTGAGATGAGCAGTATTGCTAGCCAAACAGCAAGTATGTTCTTGACAAGGGCAGGCTCCACCACGTTCAGAGATACCAATGTTACTCTTCTTTGTTTTACTTTCATATTTTTAATTAAATATATTTCCCAGATTATTTATGGCAGAATTGTTTATAAATTTTTCAGCTGAATGGCTTAAGTAATACAGATATTTCATTTATCACAAGGAGACTGCTTAAACTTTTGGGCTACAAGATTCCTATTGTTTATAGAGCATCAGGAAACAAAGAATATTTGAATCGTCTCAAAATGGAGGCAAGTACTAGGAGAGAAAAATGCCAAGAAGCTAATCACTGGGAAAACTCATATCAGCATAAAAATGCACATTTGCAAAAAACAAAAATCCTAGAAACAACAATCAAAGACAAGACAACCCACAATCCCTGGAATATAAAGCCAGTTTACACTGAATAATTCAGAAGTTTAATCAGAAAATGATATAGTTTTAAAATTTAACAGTATTTTAATATGCAAAAAAAATCCTCACAAAACATCACAAAAGCCATTACTGTTGTTTTGATTTTGTTATTATTATGTTAGCATTGTTTTCCCTATTCCTAGCCCTTTGTTATGCTCATCTTCTGGGAAGTACTGCAAAGACTATACGTTAATAATGAAAGTTGCTCTCATATTTTGGAGAATTTCCCCCCTCTACCACCTTTCCACCTCCCCCTCAGCCAAACTCTTAAAATAATATTGGTTGAGTCATTTCTACACTGTACGAGGTGAGCATTTGAATTATCTGGTGAAGTTTATAAAAAATGGGCAAAAGATACTATGGTGCACAAAAACTATTGCACACAGAGCAACTGCTAACACTGTTCCAGCAGGGGATCCAGGCAAACGTAAGGAGCAAGGTGGGGGACATTTACGCTCCAGAACAGGTATGTGTAATAAGATATTAGCATGTGAACAGAACAACAGTCATCCTCACTGCTATAAAATATCATTCAATATGAAGTGATGTATTGAAACTACCTCCTTAGCAAACTCATTATGCTCTAAGCTGATTTTATTAGCCTATTCGTGCTGTTTGAGTTAAACAGTTTGACTAGCGTCTCACTTTCCCATTTTGATCCACTTTCTGCACCACTGTTGGAAAACATCTCTGAGATACTTTATTAAACTGGACAAGGGACATATATGTACACCCACACACAGTTTAACAACATTTCACTTTACTGGAACTTTACTCTTTATTAAGGGAATTGGCTATTTTCTCTTCATTGGACATTTTTGCCTCTAGATTTTGGGATCTGACTGTGCTCCATGTGTTAGAACCATGCTGTGAACCCCCGTGAGGGGCTCCAAGTGGCCCTTTCAAAGCCAGAATAGATAATCTGACCTTATGGAAATAATAGTGACTATAGGAACAGGTTTACCTTGGAAAATAAAGGTCTAAATGGGAAGCTGGGATAGTCAGGTAAACCATGTATATTTATGTGTATGGCTTTCAAATTACTATCTACACCTCTGCCATAAACCGGTACTAGAACTAGAATGAATATGATGATGTTATTACAATTATTATTTTACAGGATCCAGGAGCAGGTAGATACTTTACAATACAGATAGGTGTATTCTCTATTCCCACAAGACAGCAGAGGTAGCAGCTGGATATCAGATACCTAGCGTTCACTGTAGAAATCTTCACTCAGGTGGAGCTATTTCTAGAGGTCATAAATTTCATGTTCCTTTCCCTCCAAAGAAAAAGCAAATTGGGAAGGGAATCGGACTTGCTTTTGAAGCAAGAGGGTACATGCAGCAAGAGCTTATTTAGCCATAATCAGATATACAATACACAACAAAGGAAAGCTACCTTTACCTGTGAAATAAGACGGACTTGACAAGTGTGACAACATCCCGACTGGCATTGTACCCTGCACAAACAATGGCAACGTGGATGGTCTGCAAGAGAAAAGGAACAAAAAGAATACAAATTTAAGCCTGCTCCTATACTCTATCATTCATTAAAGAGAACATATATATGCCAGTGCTATTATTTAATGCGGCGATTGTTAAAGATTTGAGTGGGTGTTTTACAGCTGTTTGCAGCCCACTTGAGGCAATTTGTTAAAAACATCTTAATTGAGTTATAACACCATCATCATTCCAAAGTCATTACTGGCCCTAAATTACATCAGATGTCTGAACAGAATTGCATTTATTAGCTAAGAGCATATGTGTGTGTGTGAATTTACACAAACACACACCCATTAGCAGCACACAGAATTCTGAATATGCAAAAACAAAGACATTGTTTAACCTTCTGAACCAAAGTTTAAAAATATTTTTAATTATAAGCAAATACACTCGTAGAAATTATGTGTCATTTCAATCTTAGGGATAGCTATTAAAGAGAAAGTGAGTAAGGTCTGATGGATGAGAGCATGAGTGGGACAACTGTTTTGCCCAGGGCTGGGTGCATCTCATTGATAAGATAGGACAGTACCTGTGAAGCCAGGTAGTCTCTTCTCTGCCTGTGACTAGTAGCATGGGCTGTACTGGGCAGTGTCAATGTAAAGTTAAATACAGTTCCCTACCCCCGACTCTAATTTTTCCTTATTCTGTGCCTTCTCTCTTTTAATCTGAAGTGGAGATTTACTCATGGGTTCAAGAGGGAAGGGAAAAATGGAAAGGTGCTACTAGTCATTATTATTAAGGTTGTAAGTAGTAATTTGAAAAATGATGTTAAGTTACTCTTCTCTGGTTTTAGAATTAGCCACTGCTATTCCCTGAGGAGAACAGAAAATTAATCTCAGCAGATTTAGACTTCAGCTTCCATACTCTTCTGTTTCTTAACGGTCATAGAAACAAAAGAGAGTTCACCATGCTGGCAGCACAAGGCTGTGATCAAGGACACAGCTGTGAAACTGCAGGGAAGACTCATTTGGCTTCCATTTGAAGCTTGGTTAGCTAGTTTCTCATATACAGCTCTCATTTTCTGCAGAAAGCCCACTAAGCAGAGAACAAATAAGGAATTCTGCCTCCGCATGTAGTCACAGATTCCCAATGTCTGACTTGTAACAGGAGCAGATTTACACAGAAGGTGGCATGTGCTGGAGATGTCTAAAGAGTCCATAGCCCCATCCATTAACACTGCCTTGTACAGGGCACAATATGAATCATAAAATCGCCAAGCGGCTGCTCCATTGTGCATTCCCCACGTGAACATTGCAGCTGTCTCCAGGCCTAGTATGCCTCACAAGCTGGGAAGATCTGAGGTTTTTAGAGGACTTGAATTAATAAGGCAACCGTCTGTCCAGAGAGGGGTGAAAAAGAAAAGATATTGCAATACATTTTGGGAGCAGTGCTGTGAGGTATTCAGCACTTTAAACTCGTGTTGAAGTCAATGGGAGTTGAGCATGCTCAGCACTTTGCAGAAATTGTTTCTGTGCTACTCTCTTGTGACAAAAACAGAGGAGAACGGAGGCTACTCTTACTAATGACTGTTATTACAGCATAGTCTGTATCATACATACAGGCAGGGGTCCTGTGGCAGGTTCCTGACACTGCCATGCACTGCCTTCTCTCTGGTTGCCTCTCAGGCTTTTCTCAGGCTTTTGGAAGAGCTAAGAACCTTCACTTCAATGCCAATTAAATCGAATTAGGTGAGAATGGTTTCATTCTACTTTAAACACTTCACCTGGAGACAATGGACCAGACATAAGTATTTTATAGGTTTTGACAGAACATCACTGTCATATCACTGTCAACATCACTTTGTATTATCTATACTTGCTAGAATAGTGTTCCTCATAGTCTTCTCTTCCACCTCACCAGTTCCTCCAAAATCAGAAAGTTTATTCTGTCAGGGACTTGCTCACATCTGTTTTTGCTCTCCTAAATCCATTTGTTTCAAAATTGACAGTACGTTTTCCCTGGTGTCTTTTAGCCAGTACCATTGTCTTTCGGCCAGGGCACAGTGAGAAGACAGCACTTGCTGCTCTGCTGAATGTCTTCTTCCAGTTCAGAGACAAAGCAATCCACATACCTTCTGCTTAGCCTCTCTGTGGTACCTGATACTATTTATCACTTCTACTCCTGCCTATTATCAGATATAGGAAAGAACAATGATCGTCAAAGAGAATGGAAACCCAGTCCTATTCTTCCAAAGCTTTTGCCTGCAGTATGCTGGAAGACTGTTCCTGCCTTTTTCCTGACTCACTTTCCTTCCCCTTGTTGTTTAACCATTGAGCAAAATCAATGGAAAAACTGATGAGGCAACATGAGGTCAACAACCTGAACCGCCTGCAGACTTTTGCACCCTTATGAAAACAGCATTATCTCCGGTTTTCTACATGTTTGTCCCAAATCCATGTTTGGATGGAGAGCAGCTGGCTGTAGCGAAACCTGGGCAAGACCTGGCAGTGCTGGCTGGAAGAAGGAAGCACTTCAGAGAACTTGCAACTTCCTGAGTACACTACTAGAAGCATCTGCTTTCAGATTATAAAATGAGTCAGCAACCTCACAGTCCTCTGAAATTCCTCATTCTCCTTCTGCAGCTGGCTAGAAGATTGCATTGTACTCCCATCAGAACCGGCCACCGTGACTCAACCATTCACAACCTCTGGACTCAGTTACTGCAACTAACATCTAGGAGTAAAGCCACATAGCCCCAAAATGTTCCATCTTCCACAAAATGCAGCAGTCTGTCTCCTTAGCTCAACATGTGCCTCCAAACATCTCACACCACAGCTCTGAATGTGCTATGTTAGCTCCTCACTGTTTAGAATCAGTGATAATTCTTGTTACAAAACTCTGGCCTGGATATTCAGAAGTCACCGTGGGACTGAACTGAGCTCCTTGAAAGTGTCCATCCCTCTTTCACCACCATTCTGCTACAATGCTCTTTTTAACTCGAATGATAAACATGTTCATCATTAGTAGATGTTGCAAGAAATCTGGACATAGGCCTTGCATAGGATCTGCATTTAGACAACGGAACTCACTGCAGCAGAAGATCGCATGTGGATACATCTTGCTTGCAGAACTCAGAATAACGTCCAATATTCTTCCTCCGGTTTCCTAATTCACTTTTCTCCCATTCAGTTATATTTACAGGTATGAATAGGTAACCAAAACACTGCAGAAGTTAATCAGACTGTTCCTCAGATAGGTTGGGGGTCAAGGACACAACAATAACTATTTCTGATTTTAAATAGTTTGGCGGGAGCATTTGAGCCCAGGTATTGAAAGATATTTAAAGAAGCTAAAATTCTTTAGGAAAGGGAGATTAAATAATACTCGGGTCCATTTTAACATGGTTTAGAAATTATTACTCTAGCCACTATAGACCAGGAAAACTGTTTCTGAAAGCAAAATTTCATCTAAGTCCACTCCGGAGTGACTTTAATGGGAGAAAAGTATCCAAAAATACATTAAGAACTAGTCTTCAGATCCCATGATGATGAGGAATAAAGATGCCTAGATAAAACAGATGTCATCTTTTGTCTCCTCAGACAACTTTTTGGAAGGGTAAAATATTAAGCTTAACAAATTCTAATTAGCTTTTATAGCTAAAAATAATAGTTGGTAAAGTGTTTCATACTCAACAATTTTCCAGTAATACTAACCAGGCATTCTATTGCAATTACTTCTTAACTCTTTATAAATAAATTTTGGAATTTGATTGAGAGAGATTAAAAGCATGTTACAAGCGTGTAAATATGCTACAAATGGTTCCCTGAGGCAGGTGTCATTTGCTTTTTTGTGTTTACACAGTGCTTAAGTTGATGGGGGCCTGTTTTTTGTGGCTTTAAAGCACTACACACTAAACACTATTAAGCAACACTGCTGAGAACAATAACAACACAAAAAAGCCTGTAAAAATGCTGCAGGTCTTTATAAATATTTTGCTCACCTTCTAGACGGTACACTGCTAATTGACCATTTTCTAATATATTAACTCCTTTTGGAATATTTATAAATGCATCCTTCATTCAAATTGAATGCCCAGTTTATGGAGGCATAAGCTGGAAAGATAGGGGGAAGGTATCATAAGAAAGAATCACATAGTTCTGTTAGTTTCCATCAACATCATGGTCGTCTTCTGAAGCCTGCTACTTGCACCCGCATCTGTATAAGGACTACTCTTATACTTCCACAGCTTGTGTTAAAATTATCTCCTACTGGGAAGGCATAACAGGGATCTTCTCCCTCCAGAGAGAAGGTCCTAGACTGGAACTCTTTCTTTTTTCTTGCAATATAATGCTGGTCCATGTTATGCATCAGAAGAACTCTCCTGCGATGCAACAGAGTAGGAAGTGGTGGCTGGAATACAATGAAACCCCTAACTATTCTTCGATACAGATCATACATATTATCACACAGATTATGCTTTATCAGAGATTTAATGTTCATTCACTGTAACTGAATTTTCAAATGTTTTATCATCACTAAAGACCATCTCAAATTAGATTTGAAATGTTAATTTCAGTAAATCCCAAAGAACTGCCTCACTGAAATAAATGATCTAATCCCTAGCACTTTTCATCTCCCTCAGAGCCCCAGTCTTCTTCTCAAGACCTGGTCTCTTTCTACCCAAGTCTTTGACTCTTCTATAATATATGCCAGCGTCAGAAGCTTAAAAAGATTTAGTTTACACCTCTGAACCACTGAAAACAGGGTGAATGGAGTCAAGATACTGCTCTCACACAAATGTGGAACCAGAATCTACAGTAACAGGATAAATAAGATGATCCCTGGCAAATCTGATAATGAGGAAGTTTAATTTTAACTTCCAATGCTGTTACTGAATTACTGAGTGAATTCCTTAAAAAAAAGAAGAAAAAGCTATTTCACTATCAAAATAGTGTGTGGGGAGAGAGGGGGATGGCAAATAAAGTGAGGTTTCGTGTTTTATATAACCATTGCGCCCAGCACAATGCTAACCCCTGCTGAGTAAATAAATTTATTGGCCAAAGACATCATAATCTGAAAGGCCACTTAAACTGTTCCTCCTTTAAGTTGCTATTTTTGTGACCCAAATTGGTTGGTATGTTGAATAACCCAGAAGTGAGATTCAACTCATTGCTGCTTGCATGATAATAAGGGAGAAGTGAGGTTTGTTTACTGATGGCCTGAACCTTCTCTTATTAAATGTAATGTAAAATGCTCATAGGGAGAAAAAACAGACCCTCATTATCAGGAGGAGGGAAAATGAAAAACAGATTCCTCCCTTTCCTTATGTTGGTACTGTTTTCTACAGTACCAGACAAATATGTCCAGAACTGGAAAGCTGTAATTCATTTTTAAGCAATA